AATATAGTAATTAAACGATAAAAATTCCTTTATATTTACTGTAATAAATAGTAACTAAAGGAATTTTTATCGTTATTCTGAAATATCATCATTTCTAACATGATGAACATTTTTGAAATTTTTGGATTGGATTGCATCTTGGATTACAGTTTAAAACTTAAGAATTTTGAATTACACATATTACCTTTTATATGAATTTTAATGGAATGATGCACTCGCCGAGCCTAACTTGCGATCGACCTCCACGCCGTTCCTCTTGGAAACCATTGTGATTAATTCCTAGTGATTCATCACCATGGGCTAACTGACCTGACCTTATCTTCATTTTATCATCCTTCACTGAGGTCCTTCACTTCACTGAGGTGTGCCATATCATTCATGATCCATAAAAAAAATCCAAAATAGTTTTACAGAAACTAAATCACGTAATTACTATTGCTAATTGGTGACGTAGTTACGTAAATAATCATTAAATATTCTAAAACCTAAACTAAACATACTAAGATTATAAAAGAGAAAGTATTGTGTATGTTTGATATCTATTTTGTTTTCAGAGCTAAACGACTGAACGGGACTTAATGAAAAAATCACTAGGAATTTATCACGATATTTTTCAGGGGGAACCGCATGGAAGTCACATTGTTAGCAATGGGGTCATCTTTTTACTTCGCTTTACTATCTGATGGTCGTAGGTTCGATTGCTCGCACGGTGCAAACATTTGTATTCATGAGTATGCCTGTTTGTATCGGTCTGGGTGTTTTATATGTATATTATGTATTTATTTACGAAAAACAAATGCATCCATGTATTTATATCAGTTGTCTAGTATACATAACACAAGCTCTGCTTAGCTTGGGACTAGATGACGTTGTGTCAATTTAATAATTTTATTTTATTTATTCATTTATTTCAGGCAACTAGGCCCATATTATAAATACCAAGAATTGTCCTGAGATATATATATGTATATACAGTATATTTCTAAATTTATTATTCTTATTTAAGTTAGCTTAAAATAACCATAAACAACGAAGATAAGAAATAAGGCAAACAAATTTGTACCAGATATTCATGTCTAAGCGGTCAGTCTGATATTTTCGTTTGGTACAGCATAAACATCCAATAGTCCAAGAAGAACTTGATTTAAATCTTGATGTGACCAATTATATATTATATTAATATATAAAAATAAGTCCGCAAATACGTGAATAATAATATTCAGAAAAAAAAAATGATTTAAGTTAACTGGAAAGGGATGATAAAATTAAAAACGCCATTTTTTAATAACTCAATAACGATAAGAAATATGACAAAATGTTTAAAATAAAACTTATAGAGAAAATAAATCTGCACAGAAAGGGTGCTCTTCATTTATATACTTCTATATATATATATATACTTTGGAACGACTTACCCCTTGACATCAAGATGGGTGCGAGTAAATTTTCTTTCAAGCGAAGATTGCGGAAACATTATCTCAACATGTAACTTTGAATACCGACATATATTATCATTTACATATTTTTCTCTGTAGCCTTAAGTCTCTTCATTTCACTATTGTAGTGCTAATCACATATTATTATATATTTTTTTCTATCTATTACTATGTTGTAATATATTTTCACTGTCGGCTGTAATCACTTTTTCATTGTCATATTATTAGGCAAGTATTTATGTATGTATGGTATATATATTTATGTATATTTGTAGGGATATTTATGTATATACATATTTACATTTTTATATACATAAAATTCTCGTGTCACAGTTTTCGTTCCCATACTCCTCCGAAACGGCTTGACCGATTCTCATGAAATTTTGTGAACGTATTGAGTAGGTCTGAGAATCGGCCAACATCTATTTTTCATCCCCCTAAATATTAGGGGTAGTCCACCCCTAAATTTTTTATTTTATTTTAAGGCAAAACAACGTTTGCCGGGACAGCTAGTAAGATTATAATATTGTTTGCACCGCCAACAACTTAGGTTGACTGGTAGAAAATGCTATTAGGTGTCAGCCATTTGTACTTTTTACCTGTGTATGACGAGCATTAAAGTTATTTAAATAAAATAAATAAATGTACCAATAAGTTCCGGTGCTAAACGAAACAGCGTTAAACGAGGCTATCTGTCTTTTTTTTCTTCGGAATCACTACTATCAATATTTTTGTGTTCTTCTTGCTCAGTTAATTCCTTGTGCTCATTATTAGAAAGACTACCTGCTGTTTCTTGAACTATTTCCTCGACGTCTTTCCGTTGTTCCGAATCCCCGGGTTGAAATAAAGGAGCGCTAAACGTAACAGCGTTAAACGAGGTATATTTTGTTTTGTAAACATAAAAAATTTTACGTTATTTTAATAATAAATGTTCTAAAATGTAGTTCGTTAACACCTGTATATGAAAGCATTGCGTATTTGTTAAATAAACTATTCGATACTAGATGGCGCAACGAGTTCAATATAATGAAATAGAATACTGAAGAGCGACGGATGAAAACGAATATTGTACTTGTTGTTATTTTATTTTTAAACTTTGATTTCTATGTATATCTATTAAATTTAAATAGAGTAATTTTGTGCAAAGGTTTATCTTTGTACATACTGACACTACCTAATGAACTGTTACGGGGGGGAAGTGAATTGTTAGTAATGTGTACAGATGATCCCATTGCTAACAATGTACCATGTCAGATTGACCGCCACGCGGTTCCCCCTGGAAACCATCATGATAAATTACCGGTGAATTTATCACGATGGGCTAACTGACCTGACTTCATGTTCATCTTATCATCCTCCACTGGTGCCCCGCCAACGTAAGGTGGGTGCATCATTCCATTATCATTCACTATAAAATGAACTGTTGGAAATATTAAGGTATTATGAAATATTATGTGACATAAAAGAGAGATAAGACAACTCGGTAAAGTAGTATAATAATACTCCATCTACGCTCGGCATACTGATACTGTCCAGTTGCCCGTGATATAGTATGCATGAAGTCTATCTAAAGTAAAGCGTTTAAAACTCGTTAAATGTATAGGTTATGTATATATAATGTATAGGTTATATTTAGATCCTGTATGTATATAAAAAAAAATATCACAGTATTATCTAACCTAAATCTATGAAAGGTTGTACCAATTTTAAACATATATAATGAGATATATGTAGGTTATAGGTTAATAATAATAGATACTCAAAAATACAAATTCATTAATATAAATGTTTGTATTATGAGAGGACCAAGTCACAGATCATTGGAAGTAAGGCAGTAAGGTAAGTAATCACTAAGGTTCCTCATTAGAAATCAATAAAAATGTATATGTGCTGAAATATTTATTTATTTACTATAAGAGAATATTAATACTTAGCATACAAGTATTTTGTTCTTATAATTACATAGTAAGTTATAATAGGTGTCTGAATTAAAATTATTCACTTATATTTTGTTACATTATGTTTATTAAATAATAATATCTACTGTACAAATAATTAATTGGTTTTTGAATAATTACACTGAAGCTATAAATCTGAAACTGTAAGACTATTTATAGTAAAGACTTATTTAATTTACTCTTGAATAAAAGACTTTACTTACTTTGTAAAAAAATAATGCAAAAAAATATACTGATAACATAAGAACAGAATATCGGAGGTGGTAAACAATACTTCTATTTTTTATAACAGACTAGTTTTACATATTGTAATGACTTATAATAATTAATAAAATCTTGTTAGTGTATAATAATAATTCACCTTTTTTATTACGCTGTGCAACCCATTTTTTAATATAGGTTATATTCATTTTGAAGGTTTTATCTGCATGTGCAAGCCCGCCTTAAAACAAAATCATTTCTGTAGGAAACTACAACAAAAACCTTGCTTAATTTAGCCAATTTAGGTGGTCACATAGATTTAATTTGGTCTCAATTCTCAGAGGGGCTGTGCAACTCTTATAAAACCTAGTACACATTGCTCTGTGCTTTGGACTATTATTATATTCGTTTACTTTATAGTTTTTACTTAATACTTTAGAAGGCCTGCGTGTTTATGAATAAGATCAATGATTAGTCTATTTATTGGTACAACTGTCACAGTAGAAATAGTAGATGTAATCTTGCTATTTCTCTATTTAATCTGTACACTAAACTGGACGGTCGCCCGGTCGTGAAAAAAAAAAATAAAACTTGACGTTCTTAAGAGTCTAAAACGTTCGATATAAATAAATGGTTTCTGATTTGATTTAATTTGCTTTCGCATATTATATAAACGCGATATTGACCCGACATTGGATATTTTATTGTGTACAATTATAAACAACATTGAAATAGTTGGTGAATATAAAATTATAATTATAACTAACAATTATATTAAGTTTACAACAGCCATAAAAACAACTCTGCTATGGTATACTTTATACATAACTTAAGCTATCAATTCGTCGTTTAAATGCGAGGACTAAAATGTGGCAGTTAAATATCAAATAACTTAAAATATTAAACACTCTGACATATCACTTAAGTTACGTACGATTATGTAATGTTGAAATGCCAATAATGAAGTACGACACGTATTAATAATTTATTTATATTAATTTATTTCTAAACATTTTATAGTCATAATAATGTTAATAATTAATAGTAGAGTAAATATAAACATTAATTAAGACTATAATAAGTGTGTGCGAAAAGTTATCATTATTATTTCTTTAAAATCATTCACTGAAAATGCATTTCTTCACTTGTCTATATTTAAGAAGAATATATTTTACATATTTGTGAAATACATTAAAATAATAATCATAATTTAAAGCGAACTATTATCATGAAATGCACATAATAATAGTCTATGGATCAATAAGTATTATATTTAATTAATAAAAATAAAGAATAATAATCTTACTGACTAGTTTTATAAATACAATATGTATCTGACGAGTTACATTTATTTATATTTCCTTTTTTATTCATAATTTTTAGATATAGCTATAATTTTATGAATTTACAACGTTCTATAGAATACTACATTTTTATATATGTTTAATTTAAATATAAATAAACTGCTAAGCGTGTTTAAATAATTATGAAGAGAACTTAGTCATCTTATATCATTATAAAATACAAAGAAATATTCAAAGATTTTTACTCTTATATTCGTTTGTAATTTAATAGTAATTTGTAATTTATTCAATAATTATTTAAAGTTACAAAAAGTGGAAATGAAAATTGTCTCACTTGATCGTACCGATCAAATGCTTTGAAGCATAGCGAAGTTGGTAACTCGAGTTGTCTCTTGGCTTAAAAACATAATACAAAAACGGTAAAGAGTGAAATATCGAAAGCATGTCGTCTCGCCCTAGCTACTATAAGAAGAACGTAAGCAATCGTGCACACAAACTGTCAGATCTCTCACTACGAACAACAACAATACATCGTTTATCGGCCGGCAAGCACTTGGTTGGGCAGAACGACAGGAGTGGGTGCCGCAAACAGATCGAACTCTTCGACTATCGTCTTAGGATGCAATGCGCTGATGTTGTTGTTTATCGTATAGGTTCTTGCGTGTGTGTGTACTAGCACAGACTGGGGTTCGTTCACAAGCCAATCGCTTTTCTTCTCCCGGAGGCGTTTACTCTTTGCTATCTGCACATCGCGGATGTGAGCGAGGCGCGCCAGGTGCGTCTTGATCTGTTGTGACGTCAGCCCAGTTTTTCCGGACATAAGCACTTTCACGTTGTGGTTGTAAGAGCCTTCAGGGTCCGATCGTTTCCACTGGTAACTGTAAAGGTAATGAAACCTTATGTCATATAGTCTAATAATAAATAAATAACTAAACATAACGTGCAAGCACAAATATTTTGTTTGTAAATGTTTAACCCTAAATCAGCATTTTACGATGATCTGAACAATATAACCAGATCTTTTTTATGTAATTAGACGAGTAAACTATTATTATTATTACGTGATGCCCTAACTAACATCCTTCATGCGTCGTATAATTCCGGAAGTCTTAGATCATCCGTACTCCGTAAATTCACTACCACAACTTAATCGAAATGCAGCATAAAAAGAAGGATTTTTGGTAGACAAAGGTGCCAACGCAGAAGACTTTCTACATAAAAAGCATGTAAATTATAGCAAGTTGATTACTGAGTATTACTGCAGATTACTACGCGACTAAACTTATAACTGGATATAAAAGAGCACAAGTTGTACTCACCCTTTAAATGGTCTTCTGAGTCGCCTAGAAGCACCAGGTGATCGTGACCGCTTCCTTAACTCATTCACTCTATATCTGTAATTTTTTAGATGATTTCGGATTACAGTTGTCCTCGTTCTATTCCCCCTCGGTTGCAGTCGGAGGGGGCTCGGTCGTAGGTCGTAGGATTTCGGGTTTCTGTAGGGCTGCACGCTCAGATCGTTGTTTCGATCGCCCACTTCGCGACTGACGCTCGGCGCGGTTATCTCGTTCAACTGACCCATCCTCTGCCAGCGCCGGCGCAGTTCTTTGAGTTTCGATTTGTGTACCTTTCGAAGTTTCGTCTGGCAGATGAATTTCAGAGGCTCGTAACAGTTCTTTGGTGCCCACCTGGAATGTAATTTTTAGTTATATTAAAAATTTGATATAAGTCATTAGGGGTGCCATTTTATTGTAAATTGGGCAATTTTATTGTAAAAAAAATATAAAGACATTTTTACTATTTTAATTATATAACTATGAATTAGGAAATTTATTTAGACACCGTAGTATTACACCAACAAGAAATAGGTAGCTATTAATTCAGTTTATTTACTTTGATGATGGATTCTTAAAATAGTGTGCTATGTAGAAATATTATTATTATTACTTATAGATATAACTTTATCCAATGTTGTGTTTTGTATAGAGGAGGGAGGAAGGATGGTATTTTTTTTTATTTATAACGAACTGAAAACCTTACACACTGTAAGTCGTGAATTTGAAATTCGTTAGTAATTTTTCCAAATCACGTAAACAAAATTGAAAATTAATTTATTAAAAAGAGACTTGACTAGTTATAAGATAAATAAATTTAAAATATCAGTTCGTAGTAAATTAGATTTTTGTCCTCAATCTGATGAACCAAACAAACTTTATACAGATTTCTTCAATATTGTTTCTTACGAATATAATAAGGCTGTTAACAAAATAACTATCAGTATTAGTAACAAAACAAATTCGAATGTAAATAAAATGAAATATATTATTTGATTTATATGATCAAAAAAAATCATAGTACATTCAAACATAAAAAGACTTTTTAAAATGTAAAAAATTCTAAATAAAAAAATTAAAGAATCCAAGGATAAGATTAGTATTATTATAAAGAAACTTTAAAAGTCCATATAATATTTATTAAATTATAATGATAAACTATTTATTTAAAAATTTTTCGCTAGATTCATTTTATTTGTGACTCTGTAAGGTTACATTTAATATTTATTGACATTGAAACGAAAACATTTAAACAATTAAATTTAAAAAATAATAGCTTTGTTTTAACGTTAGATGTTATTGCTCCATATTTAGTAACTATCTTCAATAAATGTATTTTTGACGGTGTTTTTCCCAATTTAATGAAACATAGTAAAATAACTCCACTTTTTAAGTTAGGGGATAAAACTGAAGTAAATACATTTCTATCTTACCAGTACTAAGTAAAGTGTTTGAAAAAATTATGCTCAATCAGATGCTTCACCACTTTAAAATAAATAGACTTCGGCAATTTGGTTTCACGGCCGGTAAATCAACTGACATTTTTCATGAAACACATTTTTGACTGTTGGGAGAGGTCAAATGCTATCGGTGTATTGAAAATACATTTGATTGCGTTGATCATGAAACACTACTCAAATTAGAATATTACGGTATTAGATATGAAGCACTATGCATTGAATTATCTAAATAATAGAATGCAAGTTGTTGAAATAAATGGTGCAAAGTCTGAGGGAACTAGTATTAAAATGGGTGTTCCTCAGGGCTCTATTCTAGGTCCTTTCTATTTTTAGTTTACATAAACGATCTTCCTTATATGGTAGAAAAGATAACTGACATAGTTCTGTTTGCTGATGATACTTCATTAGTATTCAAAGTCAATCGACATATTGATGATATGGACGAAGTATTCATGTTTTAAAATGGTTTAAAATAATATGCTACTAAATGCAAATAAAACTAAATGTATCAAAAAAAGGCCGGTAGATTCAAAAATCGTATTGGACAATAAATCTATTAATTTTGTTGACGATACTGTATTTCTAGGTATCACATTAGATTCCAAGTTGCAATGGGGTGCATATTACTAAATTGGCGAGTCGATCCCCTTTAAGAAGAATTAGACAATTAACAGACGTGGCAACGGCTAAACTTGTCTATTTTAGCTATTTCCATAGCATTATGTCGTATGGTATTTTGTTATGGGGCAAAGCAGCTGATATAAATACAATATTTACTTTACAAAAGAGGGCCATTCGCTCCATTTATGGTATGGGTTCCAGGGAGTCATTGCGAGAGTGTTTTAAGGAATCAAATATCTCACCGTTGCTTCAAAGACAGTTTCAAAAGAGTTAGTGATTGCAAAAAGCTTACGTTAACAAACTGATTTTACCTAAATGTCGTTTGGCTAAAGTTAGTAATTCGTTTTATGGCAATTGCGTAAGGTTTTACAATAAAATACCAGAGTCTGTTATAAATCTGCCAGAAAAAAGATTTAAATGTCAAATAAAACAGTTCCTTTGCAAAAAAGCTTACTATAAAATTGAAGAATTCGTTAACGATAATAATGTTTTTATAGAAAAACTTTAAATCTATAGCACTGACAATATTATCTGATTACATTAATAATGAGTGCGTAGCGACTTCTATGTTGATTATCGCATGCCTCTTACTTGTTATACTGTAATTATTTATATAAAAAAAACATCTATTAAAAAGAGCAACACACAAGTTTCTTGCTCATTCTTCTTGTGATGAATCTGCATTCCGAATGAGTGGTAGAATCAAAATATGACTATTCAAAAGTGCTTGTAATGAGTTTATTTGAATAAAGATTATTTCTATTTCTATTTCTATTTCTATTTCTATTTCTACCCCTTTTACATATATAACTAATTCGGTAAATAAAATGTTAGTTACTGAATCAAGCCATTCAAACATAAAACTTAAAATGTAAAAATTCATATAATGTGTAAATAAAAATTGTAATATTTATCTATTTATTTATAGATCATTTTATTTATGACTCTGTAAGCAAATATGTTGAAACTAGTTAATAATAGCTTTGTTTACGTTATATTTCTAGGTTATCTGCAAAAAGTCAAATGGAACAATAGTTGACTGGCAAAAAAATAAACACAATGCCACGAGCGAATGATGTCATCTTGCCTAATGACATTTTTCAACAATTGTCTAAAATCTAGCATTGAAAATACTAACGGACGCCTACTAGAATCATAATACGTATTAATTATAAAAAAAAACTAGCTGTGTCCGGGACTCCGTCCGCGTGTTATGAGCGTAGTGGCCTCGATCAAATAAAAAAAAAATTCAATAATCTAACCCAAAAAAGGCAAAGAAAGTGAACGAACCATACAAACTTCAATCCCCTTTAGGTTAAATTTTTTACTCCCTTAAGGGTAACATTTGTACAAACTTTGAATGTCATATTTATTTGTGTTTAATCAACATCTTCAAAAATAAGTTCTAGTTGCAAAAAGACGATTCTTCCATACAATCTTTCATCCCCCCTTTTAACCCCTAACAATCTTTTTTTTCGTATTAAAAAGATACTATATCATTTCTCAAGGTCTAGACTATCTGTGTACTAAATTTCATTTAAATCGGTTCAGTAATTTTTATGTGAAAGCGAGACAGACAGACAGACAGAGTTATTTTCGCATTTATAATATTTGTGAGGGTAAGGATATTCACATTTCGATGATTTTTTTTATTAGAAAGGGAACAAAATCCGTTTTATGTAAATTAGAAAAGGAAATTAATGCTTAGATATAAAACAATGGAGAAAATTATACAAAATAATCTTATTTTGGTAGAACAAATTTTCGTACAAAATTGTACATACGACTATAATTTATCTCTAAATAGCTACCCGCTATGGCTTCGCACGGGTTTTTCATGTATTCTACATATAGACCTTGCTCTTGAATCACTATATCTATTGCTAATAACTGTATTAAAAGTCGTAAAGATCCAAGCGAACAGACAGCGGAAGCGACTTCATTTTATACTATGTAAAGATATACATTTTAATAGTATAACATATTTTAATTTACAGAAGATAAAAAATATTGTACAGTGACTCTATGTTTTTTTATGGATGATAATGGAATTGTACATCTGCCTGCACTAACAGTTTACGCTGGCGGGGCATCAGTGGAGGATGATAAAATAAATATGTGGTCAAGTCAGTTAGGCCATCGTTTCCGGAACCACGTGGAGGTCATCCTGACATGTGGTATATTGCAATGGGCCTATTAATCCACACTACTAGTAACACCCAGTACCTGCGTTTCGCAACCCTGCCTTTTTTATTTCCTGATAGACACTATCGTAAATTGCTTTATAGAAATAAATCGAATTCCTCGGATAACAATAACGCCATCTGCGCTAAATTTTAGGGGAATTTAAGAATGGAACTTTATATACTATAACCACGAATCGTAAAAATTTTATATCAGTTTTTGTAGTGGAAACATATTGATCTTTGTTATGCAATATCGTTTCGTATATTTATATATTGTAACATATTACAAGCCGCCTATGGTCGCCTGGTACACCAGGGGTGTAACGAGCGCGTCGCCTGCCCTTAAGAATATCCCCTATCTATATATTAATACTAGCAAACCCGGTCTCGCGTTGCTGTGGCTAAGGTTCTTGAATAAAATAATATTGCGATAAATTGAGATGTAAGCTATCCTATCTTTCAAGTTGGATCAAATTGCGTACAATTTGTAAATCAAATTTTTAATCGGTTCAGTAGTTCACCGTGACACGTAATTTTTATACATATATAAAGGTGTAGAGCTTTGTATCCCTTTTCATAAAAAATGTGCTGACGCAGGAGTATCTATGTAATTTCGCATACCTATACTTTATATAGAGAAGGAATGCATAATGCTAATATTTTTTTAAAAATGCGTATAGAAATACATTAATTCAATAATAATAATAATAATAAAAATTATTTATTCCATTCCATTATAGGTATTCACAAAATTGTTTTAACAATGAACATCCTGTAAATATAACAACGAAAAGAACATTACACACATACACATATATACTCTTTTGTTTATTGTTACAGTCTGTGGTCAAATTGACTATAGATTAATATTATTTATCTTTAACATTATTTGTATTTAGTCTTACTGAATGTCAAACATAACCATATAACCATATTTAAATTAATTATGATCGAAATTCGACCACTAGTATAATTAAATGCGATATTGGAATTACTCTCTTTAGTTTAGGGTCCATTGTTAATACTGGTTTGTTAATAATGGGATATCGCTGCTCCCATTAACTTGAACATATGTTTTGTTTCGACACGCGCCTTTACTCAAGAATATTGCCATTATTATTATCGAAGAGTCACGTTCAATATTTTAGTAAAATGGTTTTGTTTTAAAATGTAAATGGCACTAGTATTTGCCAATATTTAGGTCAAATTTAACACTATTTGAACCTCGCAACTTCGTCGATTCTCAGTTGGAATATTTTTTCACGGTTTCTGTAACATTTTTTATTCACGAACTTGCATGCTTTTACTTATTAGGTATAGTTTAGTTATTAGGTATATAGGTAAGGATGTTATTTAGTCAATAAATTGGCAGTCCAACACTAAAAGATTTTTAAATCAGATATGTAGTAGCGAAGATTAGCCCGAAAACATAAACTCACAAACTTTACCTCTTTATACTCTAATATAAAAAAATCGTGTCTCAGTATTTGTTGCCATACTTTTCCGAAACGATTTAACCGACTTTGATGAACTTTTATAAAAAGTTGTTATAGATTCTTTGTACCTATCCGTAAGTGATAAGAATGGTTTATTCCAATATTTTATTACAATTGTTGTTTGTTATTTAGCATTATTAAAATACGTAACATCTTAACATATTAATCATTCTATTTTTGATGGCGATATTAGTACTTTAATTTATATGGCATAACAATGTTTGCCGGGTTATTAATATTAATTACTACTATTATTATATATATGTATTGTTTACCTAAATAAAAGATCAGGCACCATGGCTATGCAGTGCCACTTTAGTTCGCTCGGGGACATCTTTTTCATCTTGGAAAAGGACTGGTAGTGCATCTCGCGCAGTTCACCCCCCCACTTCCAGGATTGCGAGATATGGTCATATATGCCCCCTATCCAACGACTGACACCATCTGTAATTTAGACGACACAAAATATGAAGATTTAATTCAATTAATAATTCACATAGCGCCACCTCTTCCGAAGTTAAGCTGAGGTAATGTTATGGGACCTAGACAACAGACAGATTCACTTAAATACACTTTATATTTGTACATATCATCTGCTTCTTCCTTATGCCAGTTATTTGGGGTCGGCGTAATATGTTTTTCGCTTCCATTCATCCCTGTTCGCAGTCATCGCGTTATTTACTTCCTTTCTTACCATATCATCTTTCACACAGTCCATCCATCTCATTTTCGGCCTTCCTCTGCCCTCATAACCATACACATTTATATGTAACACCTTTCTTATATTTGTACATACATAACATAATGTACATAGAAGACACCCAGACCAATAATCATGAATACAAATGTTTGTATCATTTTTTTTCTGGACTTTTCTAATGTTCTTCAGCGGGCCTTTACAGCTTCACCGGACGATAGGGGGCGAGTGTAGATAGCACTCCACAACCCGCAGAAGTACTTATAGAGCGCCTGAGGGCCAACGGCTTTAGTCGGAGAGCACCGAATATACCATAGAGGTTTGAATCTTGGCTCAGGCTGTCGTAATTTCGATCCTTGCTTGTATTGGACAGGGTGCAGAGAAAGTCTACACCGTGCACGGTGTAGCAAGGAATTGATCCGACCAACCAAGGAAGTAAGATCTGTTAAAAAGCTGGACTATCGAGTTCGTATTATTTCTATTTCTATTAGTCGTTAATATTCGCTCAGACGTAGACTCAAATAGTTCGGATTGTTCATAGACAATAAATCAGGTGTAGATCTATAAAATGTGTTTTTATTTATAGATGCCAAACTTTTTTACTGATGTGTCTTCCAAATTTTGTTATCTACCATACAGCATTATATCTGCTATAACTTGCGTTTTTAATTTCGAAAACTATAACCATAAAAACCATAAATACGGGAATTGTTCAGAGTGAGGGGATATTTAGTAATGAGAAATAAATCCCGTTGTTAGGAAAGTATCGGCTAGATCCCCACGGTTTTCACACCCCTAACACAATCTTTGCTTACCTTGGGTCTAGATAGCGCTGTGTGAATTGTCCTAAGATTGTGTTATTATTAATATAAAAAAAAATAACCCCGGATAATTAACCCAGGGCCATCTAGTACTACAGTAAGCAGAGCTTGTATTATATGTATACTAGACAACTGATATAAATAACAATTTTTATTTTTTGAAAGTATATATATATAGTATAGCAAATACACAGACAGATACCAACAATCATACTCATGAATACAAATATTTGCACCGTGCGAGGAATCGAACCTGCGACAATCAGACGTAAGAGGTGTGCTAAATCTCTATACCACCGAATCCGTCAAATAATTAATATGCAGTTGTACTAACCTAAAACGGATTTATTGAGATAGGCGCGTAGATTCCTGTCCTCCCATCGAGCTGGTACTGACAGGTTGCTTTCTCGGTCCTGAAACAAATATAGAAATTGATATTAGATAGTTTTTGAATCGGCATGTTAGAAAAATGCATGAAAATTGCAATTTAACGAAAATGAATTACAAGACGCAAATAACGTCCACGTTGCTAAACCTAACAAGGTGCATATTATGTGTGGAAAACTATATCATAATTGTGCAATGAAACATAAATAAATAATAAAAGAACAATGATAGTACTAGATATAATAAGTGGGGTTTTTTATTTAATTTGAATTGTAAAGAAGCTGACGATTTTTAACAAAGTCTACTTTGATCGGTTTGTAAGATATTAATTTGATTCAAAATTTAGGAGCTACGCTCTTTGCGGTGGAGCTATTGCACTTTCCCACGATGATCTTCCATCACGTTCTTTAAATGTTGATACGACATGACACCAAGATTTCATTTTCTATTTTTTATATCGTACTAGCTACTCGCCCCGGCTTCGCGCGTGTGTACATGTATTATATATAAAAACCTTCCTCTTGAATCATTCTAACTATTGAAAAAAAAACGCATCAAAATCCGTTGCGTAGTTTTAAAGATTTAATCATACATTGGGACGGACAAATAGCAACAGCAACTTTGTTTTATACTATGTAATCGTAAGATGTAGGTAATAAACTGAAAATAATTCTTTTATTCGTAACTTTTAATATACCTACTACATAAACGTTTGCGATTCGTTGCCCAATCATACATAAATGGCTGGACAGATGTAGCTAAAATTTAGCACACAAATAGCCCGGAATAATTGAAATCTAAACCGAAGTCAAAAGAATGTTGTACCTAATATACGCAACCTAAATACTACTTGTGTTCTTAATATAGCTATGGGATGGGTAAAAGGGGGCTTCGTTAGTGATGGGGACTATCCCATTGCTAGTAATGTATTGTGCATTGGTAGTATGGTTTTTTTATTGGATGACAATGGAATGGCGCACCTGCCTGCGCTAACTGTATACGCTGGCGGGTCACTAGCGGAAATAATATAGCTATGGGATGGGGAAAATGGGGCTTCGTTAGTAATGGGGACTATCCCATTGCTAGTATGGTTTTTTTATTGGATGACGATAGAATGGTGCACCTGCCTGCGCTAACTGTATACGCTGGCGGGTCACTAGCGGAACCACGTGAGTGATCTGATATGTATATCCTAGTCTAGTCCCCATTACTAATAACCCCCTTCAACAATTAGCAGTACGTTATTGTAGGTTATTCCTACTGAATTTGAATCGTGCTGGTTTGCAAAGAAGATTATGAACGTCGAATAATAAAATAAGACTAGCAAATAGTAGATAGTACAATTAATGCTGTACTTAAATTAAATTAGAAAAACTACTAACCGAATGTTACATACATACGCACTAAAGACCATATAATTCGACAATGAAAACTGTCTTAAAATCACTGATCACTTTTTGCAAAAGAATGGACGAGTTTGCACACTTTTTCAACTTGCTAGTGAGCAAGTATTACAATTAATGCTGTACTTAAATTATAGTAAATTAGACAAACTTTTAATAGAATGTTACTTACATACGCACTTAAAATAAATATAAAGATCATATAACTAGAATGGACGAGTATGCACACTTTTTCAACTTGTTCACTAGTTACGGGACTATTTGTAGTTCCCATAATTAACAACTAAATTTCCCGCCTTGAATTTATATTAGGAACACAACTAATCGTTGTATTACGTAATAGTTGAATAGTAGATACGTACTTAAAATAAGTTTAACTACTAATAACTCAACAATGAATACTGCCATAAAGTTATTTGTCGCTGTTTACTAAAGAAAATTGATGAGTTTAGGCACTTGTTCGCCGTGTAAATTATACGTGACATCACGGTTTAGTGATATTATTATAAATACCTCGTGAACCATTGTGAATAATTGTATTCACGAAACCTTGATCTATCAAAATGTGTGTTTTCAGTGATGGATGGAGATGATTCGTCCTAGTTTGTTATGTTTACATTTACTAATTATTTTATCATTTTTTTAACAGATAGTTTATTATTGCGTGATGTTTATTGGATGGTGTAATTATTGGTACTTAGTGGCGAACAAGAAGATCTCAGTTCACCTGATCACAGTCATCATTATCATCATCATCGCAGTGAATGTCCACTGAATATCAAAGATCTCCACGAAGAGATCGTCGGTCCACCTTGCTGGAGGCCTTCCCAATGTGATCTGTACTATTCTATTATAAATATAATACTGATTCGATCACGCAGAGTATGATACTCCATAAAGCAGTTCCGTAAGTCATCACTGGCAACACACATGAAGTACACTGGCAATACCTGAAGTATGATACTATAAAGCAGGTATTGCAGTAACTTTGACGTGTAATGCGAAATAAAAAAATATGGTCTGATAAACAAATACTAATTCAAGGAGAAATCCAGAGGTGAAGATGACCGGGCAGCTACAGAATCTCAAAATCGTCAGAAACTAATATACCATTCTGATTATTTGGATGAATGGCGATCCTCCACAGTGCGAACTTTTTGCTACACACAACCATATTGTGAAATTCACACCTTTCAGCAATGATATTTCGAAACCGATACGATATTGAAACTTTCAAGAAAAGACCTTAATCCTTAATCTCTACCTGACATAGTATTTTGCTAGCGAGAAGGTACTTAAAGTAAATGTACCTTTTACTACAATGCTCTCAAATGGTTCCTAAATGACAAGTATATCCATAATAATCTATACTAATATGACAAATATGAGTGCGTGTTTGTTTATTACCTTTTTAGAATTACACGCCAGAATCGATCTTAATAAAATTTGAAGTGACATTAGATAAAGAAAATGAATGTAGGCCATCTTTTATCTGAAAAAGAAATCGAAATCGGAATCGGAAAGACGAAATCGCAATCGGCTAGTTCACGTATATATATTCTCTCGATGTGTTTGATGGACATTTTATCAAGAGAGATTATGATTATATTTAACCATATCAAAGTAAGGCAGCCGCCAGACTCTATTTATCAGGCATGTGTAATTTATTGATATGATGTCACTGGCAAACAGCAAAATTATTGGCAATTGCCCCATTTAGCCTAATGATTGTGCAAATATAATTTGTCATATGTGGAACTATTTGCCGGGCGATTGTTGTGCTTATATTTTTTTATGTAATGACTTTCCCGTATGGACTAAAGACATACATAGTGTGTTTAAAAAGAAAAGTGAGTTTTACTACATGGTTTCGCGGGCAAAGTTTCATAACCATTCGATTTTCGAATTTTTGTTATTATTTCATATACCATTCTCAGAAAGTAGTCCCTTGAGTTATATTCCCGAGACTAGAGCGGTTTGATGTCCAAACGTAGTATTGCTTAATTTAAGAACTCAAAAAAATAGTTTTTCATTGTACTAAATAGGATGTATATACAGAAACAGTTAACAAAATATAGTCTATCTATTTACTTTGTTACAAGTGAGCGTCTAAAACAGGCAGGTATTGCGTAAACTTAGAATATATTACGTAACGCTTAATAGTAAATTGCATTAATTCAGAACTTACACATTTTGAAAAATCTACTGTAATAATAAAGCTTTAAAGTTTATTTTCCGAAATTTCCAATGATTGAGTTTATGCATTTTAATATTCAGCATGGGATATATAATATGACTTACCTATAAACTTTGTGTATGACCTAGATTTAGACCTGTGAGCATTGAATCACACCTAGGTCTGACGTAAGCCCTCGTAGTATTCTTACACGCTCAGTAGATAACCAGTAAATTATTGATTGTTAGTTTACTGATGACGTCATTTTATGTATATTTACACACACATAAGTAGACTAGGGTAGATGTAACGATTCATCTTAGTTACATAGTAAGTAATCTTTGCAAATATAATAAAATCGTGACGAAGCGAAAATTGTTTGCTAGTTTGTTTATCTGTTACTCATAATGATTAGAATAATTATAATAAAATCCATAGTCTGACGAAAATACCCTCAAAGGGTTGAAATAATTAATTATGTGAATATTTTCAATACGGTAACGGCACTGATGGCAATATGCCACGGTAGCGCCACACCACCGGTACACCACCCGCTTCGGTTAGAAGTCCTCCTTCATGAAGGTGGGCAGCATGTTGATTAGCACTTGGGACAAAACGCCTTGAAACTCGCGTTGTGACTCGACTCCAACTGCGTCACCCTCAATATCAAGTTACCCCTGATCCGTATATAGTCGACAATGTCCTGTTGCTTGGTAGCATAGATCGGAACAGGTATATTGATGGGATCGGAGTTGCAGCACGCAATTATAATTAAAGTAATTCTTTTCTTCGGTTTTCAAGCTCAACTAAATGGTGTTACTCCAGCAGTAACAAAATCCCACTGTTATATATAGGAATTACATCCATTGTGGATTTAATTGGAAACTATTTTTTTTACCTTTTTATTGTCTATGTTTATTATAACACTATATTGATTTATATATATGACATAGGTCAATATAATTTTTGTGACTTTCTTTGCTCGCCTAGTCTTAATCCTTCCTTCATATCCATGCTGTAGATATATTCCCTTGTCGATAATGAAATTCAAAAATAGAAAATCTGCCACTATTTATAAACTACAGTAGGTTCCAATGCCAAATGGATGAATAACAAAACGTTAGTTGCGCAGGCAGAAATGAACTCGACGTCAAATTATCAATAAATCTGTGTGTATTGGACGTTATTGTGCTGTGTGACGAATCTACAAATAAACTTTAAGAGTGCTATTAAATACATAACTAGTTGAAACTAGGGCACACGGTGAAATTCGAAACTCTGAGAAATTATATCATAGATCAGATATATCCCGAGTGGTTTAGTCTACAAAGTATTGCAAGTACAATGTGCATATATATACCTCGTTGTACTGGGGGACGGGGTTAGTTAATAATTAATAATGTGGATAATGACTCCATTAACAATGTACCATGTCAGGTTGACCTCC